TACTATGTGTTAAAATGTTATTGGATTTATAAAGATAAAAGTTACTTTATATATTTTCAGATATATGTATTGTGTCACTTGTACTAAGCAGATATATGTATCTGAAAATAACATTCAGAATATACAAGTAATTCTTGGAAACAATTTTTAAAAAATTTGCAGTGGTAGAAGAGGAAGCATGGGGAAAAGATGCTGATAGAGAAACCAGGGCGGGGGGGGCGGAATTATCAGAATTCAAAATTCAAGAGATGGCAAAAGTATATGTTGAAAAATCTCACTTCATTTTCTCCAGATACCCAATTCTCCTCCCCTTAGGTAACAATGCTATTAGCTATGTGTGTCTTTCCAGAGCTATCTTCTGCATAACCAAGCAATTAGCATTATCCCCACCTTCTCTTGTTATACAAACAGCATACTATAACACTGCTCTGTACATTGCTTTTATTCACTTTATTCGCTTTAGTCAGTTAATATATTATGGAAATCCTCACAGGTATCCACAAAATCTAGAAACACAGGAAATTTTATTTTTAACTAAATGTTAGCAACCTTTTAAAATAATGTGTTCAATATGTTTTCCTCTGAATTTTTCAGAGGAGTTTGTATACTCTCCTGGCCTCTCTCCAACTCCAGACAGGAGTTCACTGTGCTTGCCAGTTCACAAAGTGCGAATATCTCAGTAACAAACCCAATATGATCCTGAGTCTTTACCGCAAGACTGAGCCAGTTTCCTAGGGTTAATTTTCCCACACTCAGTCCTTCTTGGAGTCATTCTAGAAGCAAGACAATAAATTACAATGTGTTTGTAGCCAATTTGGGTTAGATCTTATCTTAAGTGCAAGTGTAAGAACTCTAACTTCCCAGCCAGGACATTATACAAATAGACCTCACTATTAGCACAGTCCATGGCCTTCAATGAAAACAGGACAAGGAACTTTTGTTCCCAGGAAGATGGAATAGACACACTTTTCCCTATTCTTCTTGCTAAGTACAATGAAAAACCCTGGACATTATATTTAGAACAAGCACAATAAGATTCAAACATGGAGAGAAACCAGGCTGGCTAAGACTCTTGGGACTCAAGGAAAAATATGGTAGTAAGTTCCCTGGGTTTTCTTTTTTGTCTCATTATCCCAGACTGGGTACTGGAGGAGCAGGCAACCTGAGAATGCCAATAGGCACAAAGCCCAAGAAAATTTTGCTAGCCAGAGGACAAGGAAAAGAGCAACCTTGAAAGACAGAAAACTTAGACAATAATGGCTCTACTCCAGCCAAAACCACAGAAAAAACTTCAGCCCCACAGCCACCCCTGCCTTCAAAGGCAGAGTGGAAAGCCTAGACTTCCTCCCAAGTTAGGCGATAAAGAGGCTCCAGTATCCCCTTTCGTCCTCCACTGGTATTAATGTAAGGAAGAGGCAAGACAATTAAAAATGTTAATAAAGCCACAATCAGAGACTGTGATATGCTGATCAGCCCTGCAGCCAGGCTAGGAGGACATCTTCAGAACAAAGGAAGATTTCTAATGGGATTGCTAACAACCCATTCCCCACATCTGTGAAGGGGAAACAGGAACCAAGAGTCATTCTTTGTGGTTAAAACCAAGGGAAACCTATGGATTCAAGACTGGGAACTGCCAACAGGCCTTTCACTCTACATATTCTTACCTTTTCATGCTACATACTTCCTCCCTCCCCCTTCCTCACTATATGTCCATATCAAAGGAAATGGGTTAACAAAGTCTTTTAACTATAACTCATAGGTTCTAAAGAATGATATATAAACTAAATTCCCTGAATATTTATGGTCCTTCTCAGTGTCTTTACTCTGTTTCTCTCACTGTCCTCCTCTCTATTGTCACTGTCCCTCTGCCTCTGAGAGGAGACCACATTCTGTCTGTGGAGTGTTATCCCTTTTCTAATAAACTTTCCTTTTGACTCTAACTTTGGCATGTGTGTTACATTCTTTCTACACTCTCCACCAAAGGACCTTCTTCTTCTCTTGGTGCAGGGCTTGGTCTCCCTCCACCAACTCAGGAAAATTTGCCCTGTCTTGCATCAGTATGGCTTCAGAGAAGGCTAAGTGGAGAGCTGGGAATTTCATTCCCCATAAGGAGGTGTTGCCCAACATGGTGTTAGTGGAAACTGTGAGGATAACTTGGACTTTCCACCCCCACTTAATGGTAAGGAAGTACTCCATCCTTCTCCTCTCCGGGGTGGTATTAGAGAGATCCAGGTGGAGATTCAGAATGTTCACCATCTCTCAGTGGTAACAAGGCCACCTCCCATCCTACATGTCAATGGAAACCATGTAAGAAGCAATATCTAGGCACTCCACCCCCCTCCCAGCCAGGGTGGTTTTAGTGGAAGCCTACTAGGGAGCCTGAACTCCCACTTGCACCTAACAGTAACGAGGACTCCAAATTCAATGAAAGCCAAATGGAAAACTTGGACTTCCACCCCACCAACCAATAATAAAGAGAAACCTCCATTCCCATAAAAAATGGTGTGAGAGGAAGCTTTGTGTAGTTAAAACACAAGATTTGAATAAAGTCCAGAGTTTTATGATGCCCCAAAATCCAGGTTTCCATCAAAAAGCACTTATTATATGCAAAACAAATTGATAGTCATCAGACCAGGGGTTTTGGGGGATGGGTGAAAAAGATGAAGGGATTAAGAAGTACAAATTGCCAGTTATAAAAATAGTCACAATGTTGCAAAGTACAGCATAGGTTATATGGTCAATAATATTGTATTAAGTATGTATGGTGTTGGGAACTAGACATTGGGGTGATCACTTCCCAAGTTATGTAAATGTCTAATCACTATATTGAACACCTGAAACTAATATAATATTGTAAATCAACTGTAACTGAAAAAAAAAATTTAAAGAAAGCCAAAATATTCATGCCAACATTATTCACAACAGCCAAAAGGTGGAAACAACCCAAGTGTCTCTAACAGAGGAATGGATAAACAAAATGTGGTGTACCCATATAATGAATATTATTCAGCCATAAGACAATGAAGTTCTGATATAGGATATAAATGAACCTTGAAAACTATGCTAAGTGAAAGAAGCCAGATACAAAAGGCCACTTATTATATAATTCAGTTGATGTGAAATATCCAGAATAGACAAACCTATAGAGACAGAAAGTGGGTTAGTGGTTGCTTAGAGTAAGGATGGGGAGGGGAAAATGAGGCAGTAATAGCTAAAGGGTATGGGCTTCTTTTTGAGATAATGAAAGTGTTCTAAAATTGACTAATTCTAATAAGTGATGGTTGCACATATCTGTGAATATACTAAACACCATTGAATTATAAACTTTCAATGGGGTGAATGGTATGACATGTGAATTATAGCTCAATAAAGCTGTTTTAAAAAGCATTCATCCTATCAAGAAACAGGAAAATCTAAGCTCGAATGAGAAAACAGTCAAATGGTGACACAAAGATAACACAGATGTTAGAATGAACTGACAATGATTTTAAAGACAGTCATCATAAAAATGTTTCGATAAGAAATTACAAACATGTTTGAAACCAATGAAAAAATAGAAAGTCTCATCAAAGAAATTGAAGGACAAAGAAAAACCAAATGTCAATTTTAAAACTAAAAAATACAATAGCTGAAATAAACTTAATGAGAGACTCAACAGTGGAATGAAGCAGACAGAGTTAAGTGTCAGTGATCTTGAGTATAGAACAATAGAAATTACATGATGTGAACAACAGAGATAAAATAGATTGAATAAAATGAGTAGACACTCAGGGACACATGGGACTATAACAAAAGATCTAACATTTGTGTCTTTAGAATA